AGCCAGATTTTTGAAGGAAATACATTGCCATTGATTGGTAATAGCTGCTTTACACAAATTAATGGCATTGAATTTTTGTCATCACCCTGCAGAAGTGAGAGCTAAATATTTCTTAGATATCTCTCTCTTTCTGTGTATGCATATATATAATATGTGTGTGTGTGTGTGTGTGTGTGTGTGTGTGTGTATTTTGGTTGGTACCCCAGGCAAGCATTAATTTGAATGCATTGCTATAAAAAAATTACTGGTTTTGAGTGTTGTTTTAGCTGTCACCCTGACAACCTTTATTTACTTTGGCATCCTGAAAATAAAAAGATGCTTTGTATGCTACATAATTTATAACTTCCCCTTGTATAGCTGTGATATTCACATTAATTCCACTGGATGGCACCGAAGGAGGCTAGATCACATGTAAATAGCTCTACAAGCCTAACATAATTTTGAAAGTGAATTCAGGGGTTATACTTGATTTGCATCACTGCTCAAATATCAGGCAAATGCTACGTGATTTGTAATTCTGTTAGATTTGTAATCATAAACATAACTGAAGCAGTATTATGGAGCATTATGTGACTGTGTGCCTCCAGTATATCAAAGTATGTGTAGTGCCGAGTTTTGGGATTTAGTTTTGGCAGAATGCCTAGATTCATGTTTAAAGATTAGTAGAGCATTGCCTAATATTGTGTAGTAATTCCATGCTGCATTGAAAGCTCAAATATCTGTCAGAAACTTTAGAGTCCATTCCTCAGCGCCAGCCTATACATTATGCCTAGCCTGCCCATGGGATGCTGCAGAAAAACGACACCCCTGTAATGAATTCTCTCTCTTCCTCTTAGAACTTCTAGAAATACTCTCCATGCATCACAGAAACATCTCCAGCTTTTTCACTATGCTCCAGACTGCCTCCCCTACCACCCCAAAGGTCCAACACTTACAAAAAGATGCGTGTCTCTGCCTTCACTTCAAAAACTGACCCTGCTGTCAGAGATGCCTTATTTTTCTCCACCCTACACCCAAAGTCCCAATCATTGTGTTGTCATATTTAATAGCATAATCATAGCAGTTAGCAGAAGCAGGCCAGTGGGAGAGTCACGGACAATGTTGCCATATTGGTGAGTGTGTGTTTGCAGGAAATACTTGTAAAGCTGGAACAATTTATACAAAATTTTGTATTTTTATGCTGTGAACCACCATGGGATCTTTGGATGAAAGGCAGTATACAAATGTAATAAGTAAATAAATACAAGCAAGATTCCTTGGTAAACCTCTTTTTGCATCGCCTGACAAAGCTGGGATGCTAGGTATCCCAAACTGACATGATCCCAATAAATTCCTTTATCTCAAGCCATTGAAAAAGGTTTCAGAAGTAACAGGTTACTTAGATTCTGCCAACTCCTGGTAGCTTGTGAGACCTTGCAGACTCTTGGTTCAACGACACACCAGCAAATTCACATTGTACAATTATAGTTGATTGGGAGATCTGGTGCAAAAAAAAACCCCATTTCTCCCAAAGGTCAGACTTTTTTTGCGACAAGGAAGGTGACTGCATTTAATAGATAACCAAGATCGTCTAATCTTCCCGCAAACAAAACAGGATGATGCTCAGTAAACAGGTCATTTGGAAATGCCCTATGTGACACTTCTTGGGAATCGAAGCAGAGGGAAGAGATTTAGCCGATTCACTTTCCCTCTGTGTCTCCCAATGTCACCTTCTATGGAGGGTCCCCCAACCCCCTGGAGCAGATTTGGGAGGACTGCAGCAGAGGAAATGGTGATTAACTCAAGTTGCCTCCCTTTTCTGTTAGCAGGAGCAGGGAGGGCTCATTCTGTGAGTGCATTTATAAAATCCGAGAGTCCAACTCCTTGATATTAGGATAAAAGGGGAAACTGAAGGTTTTCAGAGATTTGAGTCCCACCTTGGTACAGAGAGAGCTCAGCTGTTAGGAAAGAGCATCAATGGCTTCAGAACCAAAGAATAGCTGAAAAGTCATTGAACTATAAAGGGAAGGGCTTTTGAAAAGCAATTGGGAAAGGTTAAGTGTGAATGATGTTGTCGCTAAGGCAAGGAATTTCTGTCAGCAGCACAATTAGCATTTCTCTCTCTCTCTCTCTCTCTCTCTCTCTCTCTCTCTCTCTCTCTCTCTTTGTGTGTGTGTGTACTCATAAGACATATAGGCAAAACCCACCACACTTTTTCATCCACCACACTCACTGCTGTGGCAGATAGAAGCACCCAATGAGACTTTTATTACTCACATATCACATTAGGAAACTAGGTTCTTTACTGAGTCATCTGCAGCTTGACAGACCGCTCTTCTTCCCAGGTTGAGAGGAAAAGTGGTGACAACAGTTTATTTACTGCAGGGATCAGCAAACTTACTGCGCCTCGGGCCAGTGTCTCCAGCACCGATCACGCGGAGGGCGGGGGAGGGCGTGCCCATATGCGTGCACACACGCTATTTCTGGCACACTTCTGGGTCGGAGGAGCACCGGAAATAGCTTGTGTGCATGTGCACGGCCCTTCCCCGACCCAGATGTGCACCGGAAATAACGCACATGCGGAAATAACGTGCATGCACACAAGCTATTTCCGGTGCTCCTCTGACCTGGAAGTGAGCAGCTGTGTAGCGCAGTGCCGATAAGAGTGGGTGGTGGCGGGGGTCACTGCGGGCCGGATAAATGAGTCCCTCGGGCCTTATCCAGCCCACAGACCTTAGTTTGGGGACCCCTGATTTACTGGGACAGAGCGACTTTTGCAGCTGTTTAAAGTTCACGGTGCCAAACAACGAAGCACGGGACGGAGCTTAGGCCACTTTTTTTGTACCACATCATACATTTGTGCATTTCCACTGTTTCAGTTGTCATCAACCAAGATAGCCATAGCTTTCAGGTCTGCCACCTACTGTATCAGCATCTGAGGGATGTGATTGCTTGATGTGCATTACCTGATTTATTTCTCATGCTGAAACTCCACTGAAGTTGTCATCTGCGCATGTGCAACAGCTGTTGCCAGTGTTCACATCTCAGCTTAACCCCAGCTTCTGTTTTCTAATTGGATGGCAGCTGGTTTGAGCGAAAGTCCATCAAACAGGCGTATTTCTCAATAAGCCACAGCTAATAACACATGTGCACAGCTTCAAACATCAGGAGTGAGAGCGTGCCAGAGCCAGAGTAAACAGTCATAAGATGGGATTCATAAGATGGGATGCATCAAAAGCTACCCCCAGCCAGTGCAACATTGAAAGACATCGTATTGTATTCGCACTGCAGCACTGTTATGACAGCATCACAGTCATACAAGCTGTCACAGTTGATTGGAATGTCAGTAAACTTTTTAAAAAACTCTTCCTTTGGCAATGACAAACAATCCTTAACTTTAAAAGCTTGTTGCTTTGTAACTTTTTGCCTCTTTGGGGCAAATGCCTCTGGGGCAAATGTTGATACAAGCCAAGCTTTCACCTGCATTTTTGAGGAACAATTGTTTGATACCCTGGAAGTTTATTTCTAATATAATGGGATGCTATTATGAAGGAAAGTATCCACCACATCTTCAATTGCTTTGTGTGCCGAGATCCTGCCGGGGACTACTTGGGGAAAAGAAATCCCTCTCATATTCACTTCCTCTCATGAATTGCTTTCCTTTTCTTCTCACTGTGAAATGGCCTATGGCTAAATTGTCAATAAATTCACTGTTGCAGATTGCCTCTGCAGCAGAAGCAGCATGAGTCTGGAAGTACAGAAGCAGCCAAGAACTCAGCACTTTGATGGTGGTGTTCCACTGCCCTAGGAAAGGCCTCTGTGGGCCAATCATGCGCGTATCTTACAGCCTCACGTCTCTTCGTATTCTTCCTGTGTTGCCCATTTAGCTTTCTCAACCATAATAGTAGGAGGCAGAATTCCCAATGAAACAAGCTCTACTTCTCTTAGATACATCGGAGCCTTAGCTCAGACTGAACCCTAATACAGGTATGAAGAGAGGTTCTGCTGCAGTGTGATCCTCCCACAACTTTCTCAAACGCAAAAGCAGGGACACAGGAGCAAAGCATCCAAGGAAGGAGAAAATTGAGATAAACACATGTGTCTCTGTCTGACTATCACACACACAGACATTTTGTGAAACTTGATTACTTGAAACAGGAGTAGCCTTAGGTTAGGACTTATTCCAGTGACTGTCTATGGCTGGATCTACATTGATCTTCTAAATGGTATTAAAAAATAACGTTCTATAACATTTATAATGGCAGCTGGTGGGTCCCTGCTCTTTAGCACCCTCTGGTGTCACATTTTAATAACACAATTTTAATGTTATAAACCACAAGTGTAGATGTGCCCCAAGTCTTCCAAAGACACAGAATAGAATCAGGGCCCAAGCACCATTTTTGGGTCCAGTGCAAACTTGTAACATACCTCTCCACCCTGCCCAACATAGTGATCCAGTCCCATACATATAATTTCACAAGCACTGAAATAGAAGTGTCTGTTTTATCTTTAAGATGACATTTTCTACATTTCTAAAATTATACTGTGGTCCACACTGGGGCTTTTCTTCCATGCCTGCGACCACACACACCCTGACTTGGTGCTTCTAGCATGAAGAAGGCTTCTACTGATCTTTTTTCACTGGTGGAACTAAAGTCACCTTCTGTCTTACCTCTTCCACTGACACTTTCTGGCTCCAGTCCTACGTATTCATCGCCGTTTTAATTTTGATAAACTGCCTTGAAATAACTGATGAAAGGCAGTACATACATGTTTTAAATAAAATAAATGAAATCCCCTCCCCACCATAGCTATAGCCTTTATAATCAGTGTGGCATTTATGTAGAATTTGTAATTCCTTCAGGGAATAGCCTGCACATTAGTAAACGGAGGAACAAAGGGAAAAGAAATGTACTGACGGCACAAACTGTATTGGAGGGGTGAGGGACGACAACAAGGTTTCCTCTTCTTTATTATTTTTGAAAGGAACTCAAGTAGCCCTTCTGGCAGCTCCTCTCCAACCCTTCACTTCCGTTTGATAGGCAGATGAGATAGAGATTTTATTAGAATGAAGTGAACCATCAATAATTAGCTTGTGGCAAGTCAGCAAAGAACTGTGCAATGTAATATGCCTGGGCATAGCAGATTAAGGCTTGACACCTGTGAAATTATGAAAATAATGAAAATTAATAGCTTCCTGGTATTGCGATGGCTGTTCCTCTTTTTCTGTAAATTGTCTACTTGGTGTATGTCAAAAACAATACACAACAGAAGGTTTTGTTTTGTTTTTTAAAGCCACAACTGCTCAGCAAAGAAACTGAAGTTTGATATTTTGCATCTCTTTCCTTTGGTCCTTGTTGATAGTATCTTCAGCTAGTTATTTTCCATTGCATCTGCCAGGAAAATTCATGCCTGGCTATTACAAGAGAAATTTTAAATGCAACCTATAAGCATGTTGTGTATGTGCCTTACTTCTACTTAAAGTTAATGTGTTAGAAACTTTCAGGAGACACAGTTAGGATTGATTTTAAAACATCTTTTTATACATGGTGCCTGCTTGTTTTGGCATTTGAAATTGAGCTGGAATCAGTTCCATCAGAAGCAGCGAAGGCTTGTTCCGTACCACCTCCAACATCCTGACAATTATCGCTTGCCTTTGGGTTTTCAAATTTATATTTGAATTAAAATGTATATTTGAATTTAAAATACAGCAGCGTGGGATCTCTTTATCTGCTTATTAGGGGTTCTGAGTCGTCACAGCTCAGTTTATATCCTAGCTGTGTCTATTCACTTAGTTTAAGGATATCTAGGTTGTGGTATCTGTAGTGGTACAAAATAGTTAACGGTATCCCACCTACTGCAGTTATTTTGCATTGATGGTTTCAAAACTGCATTTGCTTAAAAGAAGAATGGGGAACCTGGAGACCTCCAAGTGTTGCTGGACTTCAACTCCCATCAGCCTCAGTCAGCATGGCCAGGGATGATGGGAGTTGTAGTCCAACAATGTCTGGAGGGCCCAGGCAGCATGAAGTAATGCAGTAGCTCTTATGCTTTTATTCTGATCTGCTAAATCATTGCCCATCTGTGCACCAACCTCCATACCAAAAAAGAGGAGTTTGGGGTTGGTGCTCTACGGTTGTGGTGCTCCTTCAGCCTACAAAGGATTATATTTATACTGGAAGTTAGAGTAGCTTTTTATTCGGCTTGGCATTTGGCAGCTAGGCTGAAGTATATTTTTACCTATGAAGATGACACTGATTTCTGCTTAAAATGGTCTTTAATATGAATGTAAGATCTGCCTTGCCCAAAATGGGCGTTCGATTTCATTTCTGCATTGTGTCCTGCATTAATAGCACACAGAAAGACTGAGAGGCATTTTCTGTGCTGTTGAGCACAAACTGATGTGAAAACAGCCTAAATGGATAATGTAGGGTATGCATGTGGAAAGGATTTTAATGTTGCATTTTGCTAAGTATAATATTTTAAAATGAGTTTGTTTCAAAATTGTTTTGTTGATTGGGTTTAGGATACTTTGTACCCCTTCCAGATCCTCCGAGGGTAGGCAGGTAGAAACTGATTTTTAGATTTCATCAACACCTGTTGATCTTTTTCTTTTGTCAAATCTCCAGTCAACACAGTTCTGCTGATCTCTTGAAAATTGATCATTTGCTACAACCCAATGCTTAGCTATTTTCAGATTAATTACATAGCTTTTCCTCTGTCTCCATGGCTAGTGATTTCGCTTAATAATCTATTTGGCCAGGCTTTTGGTCTTGATTTGGGATTTGTGCCAGTTTGGATGTAAGGAGTTAGCCATTGGTGTGGTTGTGCATAAAGCCTTAGTGGTACTGTATACACAGGCAAATCTGTGATTTAACATTCCCGTGGAGAGAAAATGCTATGGTTAAAGTATCTTTCTCCAAAGAAACCAAGGATTTTTCATATTACAATGTCTCATGCACTGACTGCCAATAGCAGGATTTCAAGCAAATCCCAGAATAGCAAAACCTTTTCTGCACATTTTCCAAAATCCAAAATATAAACTGCTGCTTCTTTATTTTTGCTAACAACAACAAAGGAAGAAACAGTGTCCTATCCTACTTGATTAGAGAGATCAGTATGTAAAATCGATGTTCTGCAGTACGGGAACGATGTGCCAATGAATGCAACAAGGCATTTAAACAAAAGATTTGGTCTGACTCAAAATGAAATAGATCCAAGTGGAACAAGTTGGAAATCCTGATGTGGAATTATGCCCTTTTGCAAGTTTGGGGTGTTATAAGACACAGCTTATTCCCTTATCTACACCTTCCACCTGTGTTGAGAGAAAAATGTGACATTTAATCCAAACAATGGTTCAGGTGAAATCTGTGGAACAACAGCGGTGGGCAGAATATGGGAAAGCTCTGGAAATGCCTTTATTTACATGCTCAGCAAAGGCAATGACAAGCTGAAATGCATATGCAGTAGAGCCTACATGTTAATCTTTATAAAAGAAAAAAAAATTAAAGAGCAAAACAATTAATTTAGCTGTTAACTCTCCTTCTAGCAACGTATCCCAAAAGCAAACCAGTTCTGTCTAACCATCTCTTCTGTCTGAAGAATAGTGCTAAGGGCAAACTTTGAGCGAGATGGATGGAAGTAAATGAAGTAAGATTTAATATAGATAAATGTAAGGTAATACACCTGGGAAAAAATAATAATCAACAAGGATACAAAAATGGGAGGTTGTTGTTTAGAAAATAGCAATACAGGAAAGGCCTGGAAGCCAGGAAATAATTAATTACTTCAGCTATGAACCCAAAGTACAACATTGCTGCGAAAATGGAATAGCATCCCAAGGCTTAAAGGGTACGTTTGGTTTTCTGCATTTGTATAATAAAAACATAGAAAAGGCAAACTTTAATGTCATTGGCACCACATAAACAGCACTGTGAAAAGAATTATAAAGACTGTTATTTTGCTGCAGAGAAGATTCTCCACGTGCCTACTATGGTTTATTAATTTAAAATTGCTATTGCTTTGTGAACCAGCAGCCATTCTTTTTCCTCCATGTGCTCCAAACTGCAGGTTGTTATAAAGCTGGACTGTATATTCAATACCCAATTCAAGACAAATCCCAATAAAGAAATTTGAGTACCTGCTTGTAGATCAACCTAGGGCACTTCTGTGACTCTAAAAAAAATTTGATGTGATTAGTGAGTGGAATGTCTGTTACCAGGAAATTAACCATGGCATTTCAGAAGCCCTTTTTTCTTTTTCTCAGGGCAAGTGGGGACCCACATGAGTCACTATAACAAACATGGGAAGGGTGAGACAAAGGAGCAAAAGAAGTTTTGCAATTTGAAGAAAGGAAATTACAACATGTAGGCAAGCTCTACCTAGGCTCATTAACATCCTTTACTGGAACGACACATGGCAAAAGGGGGGGGGTGTCCAGTAACAGCTGTGGGCAGTTGGATCCAGCCAAGAGGCTGAATCCTTACCTCATGAAAGCACACCTGTTTCACAGGCCAACTTTCATAGGTGGGTGTCACCATGCGCCAGCCACTTATCGCAATGACATCAGGTGACCGGTTTTTCTTTGCCTGCACGGTTTGAGAAATCAAACTGCACAAACAAAGGCGTGCAAACCCTGTTTTCAACAAAGATCGACACCTTTCCCTACCCCACTCCTGATGGAATATATTTATGCCTTTGTAAAATGGAATTGGGACACGGGTGGCACTGTGGGTTAAACCACCGAGCCTAAGGCTTGCTGATCAGAAGGTTGGCAGTTCGAATCCCCGCCACGGGGTGAGCTCCCTTTGCTCAGTCCTTGCTCTTGCCCACCTAGCAGTTCGAAAGCATGTCAAGTGCAAGTAGATAAGTAGGTACCGCTCCGGCAGGAAGGTAAACGGCGTCTCCGTGCACTGCTCTGGTTCACCAGAAGCGACATAGTCATGCTGGCCACATGATCCAGAAGCTGTCTGCGGACAAACGCCGGCTCCCTCGGCCTATAGAGCGAGATGAGAGCGCAACCCCAGAGTTGTCCGCCACTGGGCCTAACGGTCAGGGGTACCTTTACCTTAAAATGGAATTTCGGTTTCTGTGTCAAAAACAATATTTGCACCAAACTCTTGTACCACCCCCATCTTAGATTTCATAACTTTTCACAAGGTAGTTTCAGTTTGTCTCTTAATACCTCTGAGTGAAATCACGGGCTGTGTGCATAGAATACATTTAAAGCACACACCCTACCCTTGAGAATCCTGGGAACTGTAATTTATCCTCCACAGAGCTACAGTTCCCAGTACTCTTAACAAACTTTAGTTCCCAGGTTATTTTTTTGGGGGGGTGCTTTTAAATGTTCTTTAAATGTATAGTGCGTGCACAGTCATAAATAATAGCTCTGTGACTTCATCTTCAATCAAGCATGTATCAATGAATACATATCAAGCACACCCCTGTATGTTTTGGTGTGCGCCAGAACATTCTGGAGGGGCCAGAATCTGTCTGGGTGGAATCCTCAAATCATGTGGTCTTAGTATACTTATGCAAGCAGATGACTCTCTTCAAAGCAGTTAGGGCACCTTCACATGACACTTGGTTTCGAGAGCTTGCTTCTAGAAGGCAAGCATCTCTAGCATGGGCAGAATGCAGCCACTCCGTCTTTAACAGTATGTCCTGCTCCACAGCAATTCAAAGGACAAAGTCAGATAAGGATAACTGAGAAGAAAGAACATCTGTTGGTGATGTGCTGGAGCCACTGCAGACAGGAAGGATATCAAAGGATATACAATCACTCTATGAAGTCTATAAACCCAGTATTCTATCCTTCAAACGCTCTCACAGTGGCAGCTTCTGTTTTAAATCTATGATATTACTGATAACACTAATCGAACAAACATGTCTAAAAAACGTAGATAGCAGACTTTTCATTAACAGCAACAACAATATTAATGCACAATGGGAACTATTTTCCTTCGTTAATTAAGGAATGGTCAGTTGATTATAAGCAAGAAAATGGCCTAAGTTGAATTCATTCAATTTTGTTGTATAGAACAAACCATGGCTGGGTAATTTATGGTTGTCAACTGTGGGCCCCAAGTTTAATAAAGTCAGAAGAAAGAGGGATTCTATCCCAGCTCTGTTCACTGACTGGGAAAGCCAAAAAGAGACTTTCAAGAAAATGAAAAGTTCTGATTGATGACAATAAAACAGATTTTATGCAAAGTCCTTTTCATAGTGTATGATCTTCTCCCACATGTACCAAGCAATTAGGGCTGTCTTGTAGTAAATTTGTGGCCTTATAAATTGTAGTCCCTGTGAGTCTTCAATGAAAGGCAAATAAAGTTGTCTGTTTTACAGTCAGATAAGGCTTTTCTGTGTTTGGATTATTAATTGTGTATGCCTGGCTATCTAGACAGCTTGGACAAGAGCTCTTTTTATATGATGTAGCGTGAAACAAAATATTTATGGTAGAGCAGTGTTCTTGAACAAAAACCCTAGCTTTACCTTAACTACTGCCTGGGTTTTCAGAGGATAATAATAATAATAATGTTTGGGAAAATTGTGTGTCTGTTCACACACATACAAACACACAAATTAATTCCCTTGTCTCCTTCAGTGTTTGCTGCATTCTAATACTAGATACACAACAATGTTTTTTCAAAGTTGGCTCCTCACAGTCTGTTCCTCTTGTCCAGTTAAAATGGCTGACACTATGGCCTTCCTCATATGATTCCAAGCTGCTCATTATCCTGTAATCACCTACAGGGCCAGCTCTATAGTTAGGCACAGTGAGGTAGATAGGGTCAGCTGGCAAGTTTTTGGGGTGCTATTAATTGGGGAGAAAAATTATGACTTACTTTTATTTTGCTATCTTTTTTACACTATTGGGGACATAATTTTGACCTTCTCCCTCAGGATCCAAAATGTCTTGGGTCGTATCTGCTAGGCAAGCAGCAAGACACCAACAATGTTAAAATATTGAATTGCAACATTAAAAGAAGCTTAACTTTGACAGACGCAGTGAAATTTCCAAATTCACTGTGCAATGTCTTAATTTACTCACAACAACATGCCCAAATAAATCCTCAAGCAACCGTACAGGAAAACCCTCAATACAATGCAACAACACTGTACTAATGACACTGTACTGGTGACTGGGGGCGGCCGCCGAGACCATATAACACCGGTCTTGAAAGACCTACATTGGCTCCCAGTACGTTTCCGAGCACAATTCAAAGTGTTGGTGTTGACCTTTAAAGCCCTAAACGGCCTCGGTCCAGTATACCTGAAGGAGCGTCTCCACCCCCATCATTCTGCCCGGACACTGAGGTCCAGCGCCGAGGGCCTTCTGGCGGCTCCCTCATTGCGAGAAGCAAAGCTACAGGGGACCAGGCAGAGGGCCTTCTCGGTAGTGGCACCCACCCTGTGGAACGCCCTTCCAGCAGATGTCAAAGCGATAAACAACTACCTGACATTCAGAAGACATCTTAAGGCAGCCCTGTTCAGGGAAGTTTTTAACATGTGATATTTTACTGTATTTTTGGTTTCTATGGAAGCCGCCCAGAGTGGCTGGGGAGGCCCAGCCAGATGGGCGGGGTATAAATAATAAATTATTATTATTATTATAACCCATTGCTTCTCCTAGACTATAATCAATGACAGTTCGGGAGAATCACCTTTCTCTCCTGAGATTTTGCTGGTCAATGGTCTAGAATAGCCTTTTCCAACTTGATGATGCTCTCTGGAAGTTTGGGACTACAACTTCCATCAGCCCAAGCCAGCGTGGCCAATGGTCATGATGACAGATGAAGTACGGAAGTGACAGTCCAGAGCTCTGAAATCAAGTGAATATAGGTTTCATGTGATGTCACTTCTGGCAGGAAGGGGCTATTGTTACTGATATGGGGTGGCGAATCGCATGAAGTCATTTATTAATTATAAAGAAAAATCAGGCCATGTATTTGATGGTCATATTTTTGTTCCTAAAATGGTATTTATTTTTCAACAAGAGCAGGAATTAATGTTCACGCTTTTACATTATGTGTGTCAGTGTGGAAGTGGACTCGGCAAGTGAAGGAACTGTAGTTCGTTAACAGTGCTGGGGATTTTAGCGCTTTGATGGGTAAACTACAATTCCCACAACTCTTTGGAGGAAGCCATGTGCTTTAAACATGTTTTAACCTGTGGTGTGGATGTGAGCTAGAGAGGGACACGTGGCTGAGTTTCATCTTGCTGATCTAATCTCTAATGATTCAGAAAGGACTACTATGTACACATGCCCACCCCGCCAAGAAGAGCATTAAAGAGAAAAGCCTGTTCTCTCTTCTGAGAGCAATTAACAAGGGCTGGGTGGGTTTTTTTTGTTTAGAGGAAGGGATTACCTTTCCTATAGATAGGCAGTATATATCAGCTTTCCTTCTTGGTCATGGATTTTGGAATTCATACAAGTTGATGCCTAGTGCTCCATTACTTCCCCTTCAAAAAAAAAATCTTCTCTAACAATAAGAGAGCTGTGTTTATAAGAAGGTTTTTCTGAGGGTTATCTCTAAGCATGTGTGCTATCATGCTTTCCAGTTTATTATATTTCAAGGAAGTATTTTGCCCCCCCTTCCTATAAGTAAGGCTTTTTCAGACACAAAGCAATTAAAACATTTCCCACACTATTTGTTATCAGTCCCCCGTCCGTCCATGTCCCCTCCCCCCACAAAAAGGCTGTTCTAAAAAAGCATGGATAGGAATGAATAGGTAATGCCATTCTCATAAAAGTAGCACAAAACAACATTACAGAACCCAGGGTAAATGGTACAATGTATGGCACCTTTGACTTGAAATAAAAAACATACTGAACTAAATAACCATGAATGATTTCAAGGCTGTGAGCCAGTGATAGTATCTAGTTTAGCTCCCCGCCCCCCCCCCCTAGCGTGACATGAAACATCTGATTAATACTACTTTGTTACTCCCACAGAAAAGCTGACCAGGGATTACTTGTATTATATATCTTGGGTATTATATATAAACAGATATATGTCTGTATATATACATACCACACTTGAATCCCATCCATCCTCCAAGGCAATTGGGATAGTAGCACACGCACAGGTCTTAACGCATTTGGTTCCCTAACCTAATTACCAGAGAATATTTAGATAGATATGGCTGAGATTAAACCTGTGACTTTATACCAGCAAATCATATTATTTTTGCATGGAGCGCTGACTCCGCAGTTGAGTTTAGAGTGAGAATTTGAACCCCAGTTCTTAGCAACTTCTTGTCTTGACTGTTGGTTAGAATAGAAGGGTGCGTTTGCCATTATAAGAGAACAAGGGAGGTATTCATGGTGAGTTCCAGAACCATTTTCTCTAGAGAAATAGCACTGAAAGAGTGCTCCAAAAGTAGAAAGGGGGCGTGGGGCTGCTCAGCTGTCCTTGATCTTGATGTTTCATGCCTCTTTGCTGGCCACCTGAAGTCTGAGGAAGGGAATCTGGAACATTGCATAATCAGGCATTCAGATAAATTGGAAGCCTACATGGGTAAAGCTCTATGTATAAAGGCTCCCCTTAATCAGGCATCCATACTCAATGCATGAACATCCAGGAGGCACATAGCATTGGTGGTTGGGCTAGTAGCACAACCCTGCCTCACACACATCTCAACACATCTGTTCTTAAAAGGCATAAAAAGTAGTTTTCCTTTGTTGTTGTTTAGTCATTTAGTCGTGTCCAACCCTTCGTGACCCCATGGACCACAGCACGCCAGGCACTCCTGTCTTCCACTGCCTCCTGCAGTTTGGTCAAACTCATGCTGGTAGCTTCAAGAACACTATCCAACCATTTCGTCCTCTGTCGTCCCCTTCTCCTTGTGCCCTCCATCTTTCCCAACATCAGGGTCTTTTCCAGGGAGTCTTCTCTTCTCATGAGGTGGACAAAGTATTGGAGCCTCAGCTTCATGATCTGTCCTTCCAGTGAGCACGCAGGGCTGATTTCCTTAAGAATGGATAGGTTTGATCTTCTTGCAGTCCATGGGACTCTCAAGAGTCTCCTCCAGCACCATAATTCAAAAGCATCAATTCTTCGGCGATCAGCCTTCTTTATGGTCCAGCTCTCACTTCCATACATCACTACTGGGAAAACCATGGCTTTAACTATACGGACCTTTGTTGGCAAGGTGATGTCTCTGCTTTTTAAGATGCTGTCTAGGTTTGTCATCGCTTTTCTCCCAAGAAGCAGGCGTCTTTTAATTTTGAGAAATGCTGGAGGGTATGGTAGGATTTCTCGATTTTCATTAGAGAAATGTTGATGAGTATGAAGTAGGCAATATAATATTTGACTACAAAGTTTCATTTTTTTAAATAAGACTTTTATTGATTTCCAACATAATTTACACAACAAAATATCTGACATAATTTATAACAACAAATAAAAAAGAATCAGGCTGTTTCATAGTGAGATACACAGAAATCTGTTCTGCGAAGCAGGTTGCTTTTCTTCCCTGTATTAGAAACAGAAGCAGTCCTTGCTTGCTTGGCCGGCCAGATCTTGGATGGATGAGCCACCTGGGATGCCCCAGGCCAACGCGGTATTCTGTTCAGCCAAGTTCGAGATGGAATTCAGCATGTGGTTCTTATGTTTGGTGAATCTGGGTACAGTTTACAAATGAGTTGTTGTCTGCATGTAGAAGCAAGAGAACTAGCAAAAGAAGTAACAGAGAACTGTACTTTTTGATGATAGCACACTTCAAAGCCCTGCGTGACTGTATTCCTCAATATATACTTAGACTTAACTGTTTTATTCACTTTGAACACTGCTTGATCTAATATCAACTGTGGTAACCCCATGTGGTGAGACACTTCCATTTCTGTAATCAGCAAGGAGACTTTATTCTCTTGACACAGCCAGGTTCTAATGCATCTTAAATTGCACACCCACTGATTTAACATGATATCCAAGAATGGCATCCTAACTCATTCCCTCTCACATGCAACCAGCCACTTCATCTTAACTCGCCATCCTCCCCCACCCTTTGGCACTGCTGACAGAAATGGGACAGGGGAGGGAAGGAAAAGAAATTCTCATTTAGACATGGAAAAAGAAAGCACACCAACTCAGCCAGGTTTTTGTATTTGTATGACTATGTGTTGCTGTTTTTATTGCAAACCACCCTGATGATTTCTGTAATAAATATATATATATATATAAACAATATAAGTGTTTTCAATTAAAAATAAATGGACACCATCTTATTTGTTAATCTTATTCAGATTCTGTACTTGATTTCTCTCTCTCCCGTTTATCAATGTATAATGCCTTTCTTTTTGCAGTTTAATGATCAGCAGTAATAAAACTGTTGGTAAATGTTTAAAAAGCAAGTGTTATCCCACACTTCCCAACACATTTCCCCCTAATTTCCCTTATTGCAAGAAGTCCAGTATTCGGAGAAGCTGGTTTGTTTTGCAAGACTTCCCAGTCAGCTAAAATTGTGCAACCTGAAGTTGCCAGCATGTGGCTGAGTTCCCCAAAACAGCAAGTCTGGAAGTGCCCTATGATTGGAAAAGCCACACCTTATGATATTATAAATTCTGTTCATCTCTTTCACACCGGAACATGCTCTGAAGTAACATGATGCAGTAACATTGCTGAAGCAGGTTCAGTATGTTGATAAAAGCCGCTAGAGAGCCATATGGATACCACCTTAAGTTCATGGAGTTAACATGGAATGGTGTGGTTAAGTGGTTCCTTGTTGGACTAGGAAGACTTGGGATACCTAAGATTCAAACTCCCACTCAGCCAGGATGCTCAATGAGCAATCCTTTGTGCCCCCCCCCATTCTCATCCTTATGGAGGTAGAAACTAGATCTGACCCACATTTGGGTAATTAAAAAAAGATTTGGCTGGGCACCTAGATTCAAAATGCAGGGCTTTGTACATTCTTCAGCGGGAGAGAGCCCCCAACAGAGTTAAAAACACTCTCAGAGTTAGCCAGCAGCATAGCATGGAATACAGGCTGTTAAACCTTTTTGCATATCCCATTTAGTCTGCTTACAGCTCTTGCCTCCCCTCTCTCACCCTCTTGCAATGAACAGACTACACATTGTTGAATAAGTTTAAAAGCTTTACTTATAATCCAAGGTCTGGTTCATGAGTTATTCCATGCAGCAGCAAAGAGAACACAGGTAGATTATTATTGGGTGCAAAATACAGCATATAGTTTCAGACATGTGGTCTGAACTTGGATTAAGTTCAGACACATCCATCCTAGTGGATTACATGGTGAAAACAGAGAGTGAGGAAAGGAAATAGAAGCTTCACTTCCTTCTTTGCAGAGGAGAGTGGGTGTGACCTAGCTGAGGCTAGGAACAGAACTACCATATGTGGTCTTAATCCCATCATGCCATAACTAGCACTCATGCATAGTCATGTTTGACTGCAGTATCCCACAGTCCTAGCCTGTCTCCCAAGATTATTGTGAGGATGAAACTGTGTGGAGGAATGAAGTAGCCACTGTGTGGTCCTCAGAGGGAGGGTGGGATAAAATTGTAGTTAATAAGTAAATAAATAATAGGCCCATTCTGGATCTGGATCCAGAGACCTGATGTGCAACAGAACTTTAAAATATAATTAAGGGGAGCATAAACAATAATTTGAGCATGTATTTATCAGTAAATTGCTGCATTTTAATTTTCAAGAAACATCAACATCTACAGTATTTCTGCTACCAGTGTGTGTTTCTCTTGGGGGGGGATTCTTTTGCGTGAACATATGATAAACACTTGCACGTAACCAATTGTATAAAATATTTCCATGGCTGAATATCATCTAGCATTGCTGTACTTGTTATTTCCAGATCTATCATTTCAGTCACCAGATCAGTAATGTCAACAGTGAGCAAATTCCTTT